TGAAATACATATCTATTAAAAATATAAATTCTTAAACATGTCTTCTAAAATATATTAATTAAAATAAAAAATAAATGAAATACATTCAATTTTTATATATTTTATTTTTACTATTTAGACAAAAAATTATTTACCAACAAACCTAACTGAATTCATAAGGAATTCGCCTCTAAAAGGAAACCAATGAGAGTGAGCGTTTTTTCGCTCACTCAACGGTTAGTTAGGGCTAGCAGGAAGCCGAATCAAATTAGAGACCTGTTTTGTATTTGGATAAATTTATCTGATCTTTTTATCAACTGAGCTACACATAAAAAATTGTTAGTTATTTTTGTTAAGATTAAACCAAATGGAATTACTTTTATTAATCGATGATTTGAAATTAAATATTCACCCTCTTGTTATTATCAAGATAATTGCTTTCATATATATTTAAATTAAGTTTTTGTTTTACATGCAATTAAATTAATATTTTTTTTTTCTTGTTTGCATGATATCGACCGGGGTCCAATTATATTAAATCAACGTAGATCCAAATGGTAAGTTTATTTTTTATGATTATTTTTTTAATTAATTAAAATTATTTATATATTTAAGGGAAAATTGCATTAAAATGGAAGTAACTTTCACCTGATTCTTATTTTTGGGAACCAATTTTTAAAATTGTCATTTAGAGGTCTCAATCAAACTTTTTGTTTATTTAAGGGTCTAGTTGACATGTTGATATGTTAATGCTGACATCATTAAGATCTTTTGTCAACTAAGATATTTCACGTCATATTAATTTTTTATTTTAAAACTAATATTCCATGTCATATTTGAAATTGCAAAATAACTATATTCGTTTTTTTTTCCAAAAATTATTGTAATAAAATATATTTTTCATTCCAAATATCGTTTTTTTTAATTCAGATATCAAATTGAGTAAAGAAGTCAATTTTTGAAAAAAATCTTCAATTTGATATCTGAATTAAAAAAATGAGATTTGAAATGAAAAATAGATTTTATTACAATAATTTTTGAAAAAAAAAACAAATTTTAGTTATTTTTTTATAATTATTTTGCAATTTTAAATATGATGTGAAATATTAATTTTAAAATAAAAAATTAATATGACGTGGAATATCTTAGTTAGTAAAAGATATGGATGATCTCAGCATTAACAGGTCAACAAGTCATCAGACCCTTAAATAAACAAAAAAGTTTGATAGAGACCCCTAAATGACAATTTTGAAAGTTGATTCCCTAAAATAGGAATAAGGTGAATGTTGGTTTTATTTTGGTGTAATTTTCCCTATATATAATTAAATGTTATTACTTATATTCTTTTTTTCTTAATTTTGGCCAGCACCAATGTATTACAAAGGATTCTACCATTTATTCTATCAATACAATCCAAAGGAAGCGGTTTGGGGCAATATCGTGTGGGCGCACTCGGTGTCCACAGATATGATCAACTGGATCCCGTTAGAGCCGGCAATCGTACCATCGAAACCATTCGATAAATACGGGTGCTGGTCAGGATCCGCTACGATCCTGCCAGGTGATAAACCTGTGATTATATATACTGGAATAATAAACAAAAAACCCGAACCGGGCCACCAAGTTCAAAACTATGCCATTCCTGCTAACTATTCAGATCCCTATTTGAGAAAATGGATCAAACCCGACAACAACCCGATTATCAAACCAACACACGAGAACGTTTCTTCTTTTCGTGACCCTACAACGGCTTGGTTCAACAATGGCCATTGGAAAATCATCATCGGTAGTAAGCACGACCATCGAGGCATTGCTTACTTGTACCGAAGCCGAGATTTTGTAAAGTGGACCAAGGCCAAGCACCCGTTTCATACGAAACGTGATACAGGCATGTGGGAATGCCCAGATTTTTATCCGGTATCATCTCGAGGAACGGACGGGTTAGACACGTCAGCATTAGGCAACGGTGTTAAATATGTTTTTAAGGCTAGCCTTGACATGACTAGGTACGACTATTACACGATCGGAAAGTATGATCTCATTAAAGACAAATATGTCCCCGATAACACATCGGTCGATGGATGGGCTGGATTAAGATACGATTACGGGAACTTTTACGCATCAAAGACGTTCTTCGACCCGGTCAAGAAACGGAGGATTTTGTTGGGTTGGGCTAACGAGTCAAGCACTAGGAACGAAGATATGGCCAAGGGATGGGCCGGAATTCATGTAAGATGATCCGAGCTTTTTTCAAATTGCATCGACCAAATCTTTTCCAAACCGATCCTTGAGTAATTCTACGGGGGTGTTTGGGATTGCTTATTTGAATAACTTCTTATTAGAATGGTTTAACTTCTTCAAAAACTCCTTGTTACCTGTTTGGCACCGGTATAAGTTGTTTATCAAAACACTCAAAAATGCTAATTACCGGTAATACAACGGTATAATTTCTTTGACGTGGAACATGGTTTAATTTTGATTTTGTGTGATCATGATCAGTTGATTCCACGTAAGGTTTGGTTGGATCCACGTGAGCATAAACTGCTACAATGGCCAATTCGTGAACTGGAAAACCTAAGGGCTCAGAAGGTGCAGCTTAGCAATGTAAAAGTCAACAAAGGTGATGCCATTGAAGTCAAAGGAATTACTGCAGCTCAGGTTTGCATCTTTCCAAGTAACTGTGATACATTCATATTAAGATGTGATATATGATGAATAATAATTATATATATATATATATATACAGGCTGACGTGGATGTCATTTTTACGATTCAAAGTCTGGATAAAGCTGAATCGTATGATGAGAAATGGGCAAAATTTCCACCAGAAGATATTGCTAAGACCATCTGTGGGATCAGGGGTGCAACCATTCAGGGTGGGGTTGGACCATTTGGGTTCCTAACCTTGGCTTCAACCATGCTTCGAGAGTACACTCCGGTTTTCTTTAGGGTTTTCAAGACCGCCGACAAGAAACATAAAGTTCTCTTGTGTTCTGATGCTACACCGTATATCATCTCTCGTACACTATATATACATATACATTTTAATATATACATCCATAAACACGTACGTATATAAAAGGTCGAGAACATAAGAATAAATGATCTATATGTGAATCACGAAAAAAATCCATTTGAAAACCCGCATTTGCTCACCAATTATTTACGTATGTACGAGATGCATATGTGAATCCTCGTTTTCTTTTACCAATGATTCACATATGATTAATTTATTCGTATGGTCTCATCCAATATACACATATATCAAGTGGATTGGACTAATTAACGTTTGTTTTAATTGTTATTTTATGAACACAGATCTTCGTTGAATGAAAACGAGTACAAACCATCGTTTGGAGGGTTCGTAGATGTTGATTTAGCCAAAAAGAAGCTTTCACTTAGGAGCCTGATTGATCATTCAATCGTAGAAAGCTTTGCGGAAGGAGGAAAGACGGTTATCTCATCTAGAGTTTATCCGACATTAGCAATTGCAGGAAATGCGCATTTGTATGTATTTAACAACGGCTCGGAGACCATCACAATCGAGAGTCTGGATGCCTGGTCTATGAAGACGGCTCACATCAGCTAGACCGGGCTATATATTTAATTCGTGTCATTTTTCTATAACAGGTAGGAAATAGTTCGTGGATCGATGACGTTTCATCGTTGTATTAATTAAAATGAGGATATGTTTATCAATTAAACCGATAAATATAAATAAATCACATATCATATTAATATTTGTGACAACTGTTTTTCCCTAGATCCATCTTTTAGCAATGACTTTTGACTTGAGCTACAACGGTTAGACGTTAGCAGCGATGAACGATAAAGCACATAAATTAAAAAGGAAATGACATGTTACGATATGTGATGTAGAAAACCTCTTAAACGGGTAAAACCCGCGGGATTTACCCCCCGTCCTATGGCAATCTAAGGTGTTTGGGACAACATTTGTGATTGTGCTGGACAGAAGCTACATAATTTACTCCTTTCTTCCTAATTTCAGAACGGTGTTCTCTCGTCTGTTCTTCATAGGTTCAAGCTACGATTTTGATATATTATATCTCACTCCCTAATCCGATCTTAAAGTTTCAAGCTCTGAGCTTCAAAGTTCACTCAACGAGGTTTGCAAAGACAAATGTTTGTTTTAACGACTGTTTTGCGCAGCTGTGAGAAAACATGCACAACTCACTCAATTTTCATCCAAAATGGATGAATCAGAGATTGATGAAAAGCTAAGAGGCTGGAGTTCAAATGTTTATATTTTGTGTTTTCTCTCAATGAATCTGCTTGATAGTCAAAAATAGTGATGAAGTTGACACATGAAAGCTGGACAGAAGGTTTAAAAACGACATATCGCAAATAGTGAGGGCTTTGAGTTTGAGATTCTTAAAGTGCAGAGGAGTGTAGAGGACTCGATGATGGCAAACAATGAGGGCTGTAGATCATTGCAATTCTGTCAATAACCTTATTGGTAGAATAGAATATGATTTCACGTTTTATTTTATTAATTTAAAATAATTTGTGACGTATTCCTGAAGGATTTACCCGTCATCAAAATTAATCATCTTCATAAGTAGTCAGTTTAGTCGCTAAATATTAATCGGCATATCGTTCAATTTTGTAATGGTTTTATTTTAGTCATTTTTATAGGATATTTTTCAAATAGTGTCCTATAAAATATATGTTTATATGACACTTTAAAAAAATGTCATATAAAATAGTTAATACGATAAATTGTCTTAAAATGTCTTAAAAAGAAGTCTAAAATCGTCTTATAAACTTATTAAAACAATTTGAAATATGACATTTTATTATTTGGTCATATAAACTTTAAGTCCTATTAGGACACTTAAGTGGAGTTTGTTTTTCAAAAGGTACTGAAGTCTGAAGTCTTGTTTCACTTTTGATTTATAAGAGAAGTTACTGAAATCTGAATCAATAAGGGGCTGTTTACAAAACACTTACCCGATAAGCGTTTACCGGTAAAATTCAATACTATCACTTTCTTACCCGGTAAGATTTTAGTCCACTAAAACGGCATTGGATACAACAATTTACCTGGTAACTGCTAACCGTGGTAAAAGTCATCGTCCTCACTTACCGGATAAGACTCTCGGTCCTTGGCTCGCTCTTACCAGGTAAGATTCGTGGTACTTGCCATATTCTTCGGGTAAGGTAATGTGACTTGGTAAGTACTTACCCGAGTAAACGTTTGGTAAACATCCCCTAAACTGTTTGTTTTTGTAAATTGATAAACGTTTGAATTTGTTTAAATTATCTATTTTACTCATTAAAAAATTATAGTGTTAAATTTATAAATAAATTTATATAATTTCACATATTTATTCATCATCATTATGAAGTTTACATCTAAATTATATAATTGACATTTATTTAAATGAAAAGATGTCATTAATGGTGTTTAACACATTTAAATCTTATTAAAATATATTAATTGAGAGATATGATGATTGAATTTAGTAAGGATTGATTGAGAGAAATAATTGATTAAAAGAAAAATAAGAGATAAGTGACTCTGAAAAATTGGAAAAAACAAACAGTCTTGAATCACCTTACCTCTTAACGAATCAGACATAAGAGGCTGGTAATACCATTTTTATAAAAAAAAACGAATAAAGCCTAGACATTGTTGACATCCTATAATCCCAATCTTATTGTAGTGTAACTTGTTTCCTAGTAGTATTCATTGATCCCGAGTCAATTACGTGACGAAAAAGTTAGCGTACATAATAATTAGCATCTAAAAGTGTAGAAACGGATTTGTAAAAATTGAGCTTGTTTATATGTCTTAATGATTCAGATACATCTTTTTTCTATAAGATTGTCATTTTCACGATAGAAACTAAACAATTTGTAACAATATTTGGTGAGAAGCCCGAAATCGGCTGATTTCGTTCAGCAACTACATCTCTTTCTATATATGTTACCCACTCAATACTTCAAAATACACTCATGATCTAAAATGTAGCATTTATTATCTTATTTTTGCAATTGATATAATAAGAAATATTCTTTGTACATACTTCATATTAAGCCACATATATATATATATATATATATCTTTTATCATAAAGTCAGTAAATATTCTAATTGTATACTGACTTAATATAAAAGATATACAAGAATAGCTAAATGTCTTACCGACAATCTTATTTTCGCGTGTGGTTTAATATATAGATTTATAGAAGAATTGAGGATCAAATCTGGACTAAACGCCAGACTAAAAAGGACGGAACTGATGTTTCGTGTTTGGATTGGTTTTATTTTTCAAACAGAAAAGTAAGGGTGTGGCAGAAGTCATGTTTAATTTGGTGTTCAGAACAGATTCGATCTTAACAGATATTAGTGAACACCCTTTATTTCAAAAGTGTTTTAAAAACTTGTTAAGACGTCCAAAAACGTCATATAAACTTATTTGCAACGCGTGCATAAGACACACGATGGGATTGGTATTATAAACTTAGGTTCTATAAAATAATCTATTACGACACTTAGACATATTTATCGTTCTATATACATGATAGTGTTTCTTTTGATTCTACAAGTGAAGGTCTTCGCACATTTAACAGTACAATGAAATTGGGTTTATAGAATGCAAAAAATATTTAAGCGTTCAAATAGACTCTTTTAAAACTCAAGTTTATAGTACTGAATGATTGTGGGTCCATGTAAAAACGTTGCAATAAGTTTTGTACGACATCGTAATAAATAAAAATCAGGACACTTTCGAAATAAATTTTATTTGAAAAAGTGTGTGGTGAATACAAGTGTCCCATAAAAAAAAATTACAGGACACTTCTTAAAAGTGTTATGTAAAAAAGCTAATAAGACACTTTATTTACAGTGTCTTGAAGATCTTGTTTAGAAGTCCAAAATCATCATATAAACTTATTACAATCATCTGCTTATAACTTAAATGCTATAAAGTAGTCCATTGAAACACTTAGGCATTTTTGATTTTTTTTTTGAACACGACATTTTGGAGTGTAATATGCTTGTTTTGTGTATATCACTACAAAACATGAGATTTTTACCGACAGAAATGTTCGCCGAAGTCATCAACGACGAATTAGCGGTGGAATACTGTTGTTCTAATTACTACCGGCGGATCTCCAATAACCGGTGGCTCTTGTCGACCACTGGTTTTTTTTCCAATCTAATTAAGGGGCCGTTTACTAAACGTTTACCCGGTAAGTACTTACCAGGTAATTTTTCTCACCGGATGAACATGGCAAGGGCCAAGAATCTTATCCAGTAAGAACGATGATAAGGATAGATAGTCTTACCTGGTAAGCGAAGGTGATGCCTCTTACCCGGGTAAACATTTACCAGGTAAGTTGTTGCATGTGATACGTTTTGATGTACTACAATCTTATCCAGTAAAATAAATTATAGTAAAGACTCCTACCAGTAAACACTTACTGGGTAAGCATTTATGTGAACAGCTCTAAGTTCCTGGTTAAGAAGTAATTAAAGACGAATTAAATAAGTGACGAAAAAATTCATCTATGAAAACCCAATTTCTAGTTTTTGTATGTGTATATATAAGATTTTATTTGGTTAAATAACTTAGATTTCTGTTGAAGAACTACAGGAATTAATTAAAGATTTAAGTTCATTTTTGGTCCCTAATATTTGTCATTTTTAACGAATATCGTCTCTCAACTTCGTTTTTTGGGATTTCATCCCTCACGTTTGTCACTTCGCAACGCTTTTCGTCCCTTCCTTTAACGACCCTGAATTTTTTTCATTAAGTCCAATTAAATGAGTGGTATTATGGTCATGTTACCGTTTCTTGAATTTTCTATCAAAACTAAAAAAAATGTACCCTAGATTTAATATTTATATCACATTATTATAAATAAAAATAAAAAAACCTCGCCCTTGATTCGACGATAAACCTCCACCCTTTCCCAATGTCTCCCATTCCTCTGGCGATACTAATACAGAGAAACTCTGACGACCCTACACCTTCTCTAATGAACCCTTATCACTCAGTCACCCCCTCCTCTAGTGATTTCACAGTGAACCCCCTTGATCATCCTCCACCTCTAGAAAAAAGAATGCACACCAATCGATTGGAATGAAATCGATTGAACAAATAGGGGTTTGGGTACAAGGGGTTCAAGGTTTTTGAGTTCATCGATAGGCGAAGATGAGGATGGGGGTGGACATGGGTTTAAATACAAGTTTAGCCAAAGCTTGAAGATTCACAAGATTTGGCCGAAATTTTGTTCTTCTAGTACAGGTTTGGCCAAAAATTCAGGGATGAATTCATGAAATTCATGTATGGTTTTGATGAAATCATGGAGATGGAGTCCACCCTCCATCTCCTCCCCTCATTTACATTCACGATCACAGATCAGAACCAGATGCATATATCGATGTGGGCTTTTTTGGTTTGATTCAGGTTTTGTATCTTCATCATGTTCGGAGTGTGTATTTTTGTTTAGGCTTATATATCTTCATCATGTTCTTACCTATTTTTAAATTTTTAATGAAAAAATCAAGAAAAGAGTAAATTGACCAAAATACCCCTCGTTTAATTGGACTTAACAGAAAAAGTTAACAACCGTTAAGAGGAAAGACAAAAAGCGTTGCTAAGTGACAAACATAAGACACCAAATCCGAGAAAACAAAGTTAAGGATCGATATTCGTTAAAAACGACATAAGTTAAGGATCAAAAGGGAAGTTTACTCAGTGCTAGAATTGAGAACAGAAAATAGAATAAGTATTTTTCTCTCACATAAAATTTGGCGGAAGATATGATAAGTAGAAAAAGTCTATTTATTAGATTTGACCTCATTTTATGCAACATTTTATTTATAAATACCTTCTTAAACCTCTAACTTCCTACTCACACTTTTGTATGTGTGTTTTTCTTCTCTTCATTTCCACAGCCTGCACCTCTTCTTGCAAAATCATTGATTTGTGAACACACCAATTTATCTCTTCATATCTTGACATAATTCCAAATCTTGTTTCTTAGATATGATGGGGGTTTTTAATAAATATGTATGGGTTTGGTCATTGTTGATTTGTCTTTCAAAAATCACGGCATACCATAAAATATATCCCCATCATCCACTTCATCTGCAGCGTACTATCGACGAAGGCGATGTTGATCCACATATATACAGAACTGGCTACCATTTTCAGCCAAAAAAAAATTGGATCAATGGTACGTGTATATATATATATATATTGGTTGTTATACAACTCATGACATGTGTGCAACCAATACAACTCAATCTCATCCGTCCATTTTTATTTGATTAATATGTGATTTCATAGAAGTTTTGATTGTTTCATAATATAAATTATTGATCATAATTAATGAACCATATTTATCTTACATAAATATTCAAATCATAATAAATGAACTCTCATCATTTCCATAAATATCTCAATTTATTGGGTTGCATTGGTTATACAAATGCAACAGGTTATATTTGAAACAAACTTTCTCTCTCTCTCTCTCTCTCTCTCTCTCTATATATATATATATATATATATATATATATTTTTTTTTTTCCAATTCTCCGCCTTCATATACATTGCATCCAACCCTATACTCATGGATTATCATGATCGAAGAACCCAATTCGTGTTTTTTATTACTATTAAAATTATATATTAGATATATAAAAATGTGTATTTCTTTATAACGACAAAAATACATTGTGATACACTTCGTATAACGACAAAAATACATTGTGATACACACTATGATACCAGATATGGTTGATGATACAACTGTGATACCATTATGTTACCACTGCGATACCCAATAAGTTTTAACAATAAAGAATTATATATTTATTTTCTCAATTGTAACTTCATAGAAAAAAAAGCTTCCATAATTTGTTTGATTAATAAAGAAACAATATCAATCTCTTTGATTGATAAACCTTTAAAAAAATTAAAAAAATTACTAATACACTTTTTTGCTTGATTAAGGTAATACAATTAATATAATAAAACGATTGGTTCATATTGGACCTCACAATTATCACAAACTAATTAGTTCTCGTTTGATTAGGCTTATATATATATATATATATATATATATATATATATATATATATTCAATGATGGTGATTCAAGGGTTTCTGCAACTGGGAGTTCTTGTAGGGTTTACAGTCAAATATTAAACCCTAGATATAGCAAGGTTCTTGAATCATTGTATATATGTATGTGTATATATATACATATATATATATATATATAATTATGTAAATAATTCCAATTTGTAATATTTATATTATTATATATGAATTAATGGTTTGTCTTTTTGCATGATATCGAATGGGGGACGCAATCATATTAAACCAACATAGATCCAAATGGTGAGTTATTTTTACCCTTCTAAATTTTGAGTAATTTTTATGATTTGGATTTATAAATTGGTTTCAATTTTATTTACTTTTTACTGTTTTTAATATAAATTAACAGCGCCAATGTATTACAAAGGATTCTACCATCTTTTCTACCAATACAATCCTAAAGGTGCTGTATGGGGTAACATTGTGTGGGCACATTCGGTTTCAAAAGATATGGTCAATTGGGTTCATCTAGAACCCGCAATAGAACCATCCGAGCCGTTCGACAAATATGGGTGTTGGTCGGGTTCTGCTACGGTCTATCCCGGCGACAAACCCGTGCTTTACTATACAGGAATAATAAAAGAAAAACCCGCACCTGGTTATCAAGTCCAAGCCTATGCCATCCCCGCCAATCACTCGGACCCCTACTTGCGAAAATGGATCAAACCCGCTGACAACCCGATCATCAAACCAACAAGCGAAAACGTTTCGGCTTTCCGTGACCCCACAACCGCTTGGTACAATAACGGTCATTGGAAATTTGTCGTCGGTAGCCGACACAACCATCGTGGGATAGCGTATTTGTACCGAAGCCGGGATTTGATCACGTGGGTAAAAGCGAAACACCCGTTTCACTCCAAAAAAGATACGGGTATGTGGGAATGCCCTGATTTTTACCCGGTATCGTCTAGAGGAACACACGGATTAGACACGTCAGCATTGGGGAATCACGTTAAATACGTATTCAAGAATAGTCTTGAAGTAACTAGGTATGAATATTACACGCTCGGAAGGTACGATCTTGTGAAAGACCGATATATCCCGGACAACTCATCGGTTGATGGTTGGGGTGGCTTACGATACGATTATGGCAACTTTTATGCTTCTAAGTCATTCTATGATCCGATTCAGAAAAGGAGGATCGTGTGGGGTTGGGCTAACGAGTCAAGCACTAGCGAAGAAGATATCGCAAAAGGATGGGCCGGAATTCAGGTAATTTTATCGTATATATACATATATAGATATAGATATTTTAAGAACCAAAAATCTAAATATTCATAATGAATATACATACATTATTATTGAATATTCATAATGAATATTCATGATATCATAAATATTACTATGTATTCATTGATCATACGATCAAATGAATATGTCCAAGTTAATATTAGATCTTCATTTTTGTAGTTGATTCCACGTAAGGTTTGGTTGGATCATAGTGGAAAGCAATTGCTTCAGTGGCCAATTTGTGAATTGGAAAAACTTAGGTGCCAAAAAACGCAATTACATAACGTGAAGGTCCACAAAGGCGAAATCATCGAAATCAAAGAAATTACTGCAGTTCAGGTTTGTATACTTTTGAGTAGGACATACTGAGTCTATGTAATAACTGCTATGTGTTTTTAAACCTTATTTTAAAGTAAAATCTAATTGATCTGTTTGGTTGAAATACAGGCGGATATTGATGTGATATTTAGTTTTTCGAGTTTGGATAAAGCCGAGTGGTATGAAGAAGAATGGGGGGAGTTCCCACAACATGATCTTGGTAAAAGTATTTGCGGAGTCAGGGGTGCAACCGTACAAGGTGGGCTCGGACCATTTGGGTTCTTGACCCTCGCTTCACACAAGCTTGAAGAATACACTCCGGTTTTCTTCAGAATTTTCAAGATTGCTGACAATAAACATAAAGTTCTCTTATGTTCTGATGCTACACCGTAAGTCCCATCTCTTTCATACACTATATATTCATATATACATATCGCGAGTATTTTAAAAACCATAAGAACCGAATGTTAGTAATGAATACTCACGATATTTATCATGAATTCGTTGGTTTCAAGTGGTTTGTATTAATTAACAATGGTTTTTGTGTTATTATGCACATACACAGATCGTCATTGAACGAGAAGGAGTACAAGCCATCCTTTGGAGGGTTTGTGGACGTTGATTTAACAGAAAAGAAGCTTTCGCTTAGAAGTCTGATTGACCATTCAGTGGTAGAAAGCTTCGCAGAGGGCGGAAAGACAGCGATCACGTCGAGAGTTTATCCGACACTGGCAGTATCGAAGAATGTGCATTTGCATGTGTTTAACAATGGCTTGGAGACGATCACGATTAAGAGATTGAACGCTTGGTCGATGAACACGGCTTATATGAACTAGAGTTAGCCTAGCTAGCTAGGGTAGTACGTGATAACTAGAGTTAGCCTAGCTAGCTAGGGTAGTACGTAATAACTAGAAATAAGTGGTTAGTTATTATTTTGTTAGGTTTTTTGGATTTAGTTATTAATTAGTCTTGAATTATCTTAGGATATTATTTTGGATTAATTTTGTGAGTTAATAAGAATTAGAATAGTGAGGATTAACAGTAGAAAATATCTTCCTATTCTATGGGTTCTGTTAAGGGTGTGTGAAAAATCATCTGATCCAATTATAATCGACCAATCGATGTCTAATTATAATTGGATCGAATTGTATCCAAAATTTCAACATCCATATTGGATCAGTCGGTTATCCAATAGATATAAACGATCTGGTTGGATCGGATGGATGTCCAATATTAATTAAACTGGATCAGATGATAAAATCCAGCATCTATTAGATCAGATTGTATCCAACTAAATTTCACTGAACTTCAACCGATTAACACTCCTAGAATTTGTTTCGAATGCATGACGATAACAAACTCAATTTGTTGAAACAAGTTGAGAGTCAAAGCAAGGAAAAATAGATCGGTTGTGACTTGGGTCGTCATTTGACCTTTGATCCAATCAATCTAAATCGACCCTTTTATCAATATTATATTATAAAGTATTTGATAAAAACTCTTAAAAACCACTTGTTATACTAAAGTACTGTTTATTAATGTATATTACTTAAAACTCAAGACTACAAGTAGATTGTACGTAAGTACAACTTATTAAAGCTTCATATCTGAATTCGTGTAACTAACTGCAGATAAACATAATCAAATACAAGATAAACATCTCATTTAAATAGAAAAAAATATAAAATATAATTAGGATAATCATTGAGTTCTAATAGAATACTTAATTATTATCTTTATAAAATTTATATTATTAAACCAAAAATAAATTATTTCATTATTAAACTTAAATTAAATTACAATAAAAAAATAAATTAAAAAAATTACATAAAAAATGAAAACTTTTAAATAGTTGATTTGATATTAACATTGATATATATATATATATATATATATATATATATATATATTCAAAGTTTTATAATATCTTCAAATTTATATTTTATTAAAAAATAAAATCATTATTGATTTCTTAAAAACACATAAAATCGACAGAGACAAATAACAAAATAGAACATTTAAATTGGGATTTGTCTCCCTGCATTGCGCGAGTACTCTTCTAGTTTTTCATTATACGAATCTCATCTACCAACTCTTCTCTTCTTTTATAAGACATGATTTCTATTTGATAAGAGTTTTTCATAAAACAGAAGAAGTCAAGAAACGTGTTTTTTTATATAAACTTGAAATGCGGTGAAATTGTTAATCCACATTGGTAAGAAAATGAATTTTTTTATGAAACGTGTGAGTAAATATAACGTATTGACAAGCGGAGATAATGTTTATTTGTAGCAACTCATAGGTTATCTAATTTTAGTGAGTGTTTGGGAGTGTTTATTTGAAACAACTTATGTTTTTCTACAAAAATACTTATCAACTTATTATAAGTCAAAATGTTTAACTTCTTCAAAAAAAATCTTTATTACCGGTGTCAGGTTTGACACCAATATAAGTTATTTATCCAAACACTTAAAAATGTTTATTACCAGTGTCACACCAAAATAAGTCAATAATTGTTTTTATAAGCAATCCCCAAACATCCACACATCTCAAACTATTGTAAAAAACCACAAGATCATCTTTCATTCAAAACCGTATCTCATCTTTCATTAAAATGATGTAAAGCAATTATTGATCGGCAAAGCGATGCTGATTCGAGTAATCAAATTTGTTTTCCTGAAAGTCTTCTTTTTCATTAAGCCGCAAGTAAACACCAAGGAATGGCCGAAAGCCATAACTGGTGAAACCGTTAAATCCCAGTTACAGAAAGCCTGATGATGGACTGATATCACTTCCGGATCAGTTAAGCCAGGGCCGGTTTCCGTTGACTGTAACCCTCAACAAGACTCCGGTTAAGTTTGCCCATATCTAGATCAACCTAAAAGTCATTTTTTTAATCAAATGGATCTTAACCATAATAATCAACTATCAAGAACGAAAACGGAAATTTGCAAGCAAAAGCAACCAGCATTTCCAGAATATCTAATGTAATAACATCATTTTAACACAGCAAAAATTCAATCAATTCATATTAGATAAGAAACCAGCAACGAAACAACTAGAAAAGACATAAATAGTTCCGATCCAACACATAAAACACTCGTAAGACCTTCACTTGATCTTCTTCTTTGGCCTCAGCTGCAACACCACAAATGTCAATCACCCAATTAATATATGAAGTATATCAGAAGAAGCTTTACATTTAAAAAAAAGATTTTAAAAAGATAATAAACCTGATTGCTGTGGCCACACTTCTTCTTTCGGCAGTTTACAGCCCTCGGGTGCAAACGAGCATAGCACCTGAACAATTTAACCACAACTCTCAGCTACAAATGAAGTTCAGAGAGCATTATTGCATTTAGGGTGACTAACTATAAAAAGTTCATAAACCACAATAAAAAAATATTAACAATTACTTAAATAAAAGATGATTTCTTAGGATGTGTTTTTTATGCAGACCAATACTATATAGGCGACTGAGGTAGGCAGATGAAAACTTAGTAGCCGGTTTGGAGGTTTCAGATTGGCATAGGAAATTTAGTAAACTTAACACTCTTGTCCCATATCTACGATTTTTGTCACACCTACCCACTCAGGTTGCTACGTCCTGGTCTAATCCGCGACAAACATTGTTCAGTCCCACTCCCACATACACCAAACGCACACATAGGGAACAGATACATATATGAACTGTATAAACAGCTGAAACTAGTATATCCCAGGCATGATCAGCTAATAAAACAAAAAAAAGTGGAGTATTTAAAACGGAATGAATTGTCCTAGACACAAAATAGAAGCAATGTTGATACAATTTCATTATAGTAACCAAAAGACAAAAAGCTACTCAGCCCATAAAGAGTTCACAGTAAAATGTAGGAGAAATCCATTATAGTAACCAAAAGACCAAAAGCTACTCAGCTCATCATTAGTACACATTAAAATATAGAAGAAATTTGACAGTTTTCTTGCACAACTCTTTTGAAATTTGCATAAAGACGCTACTTTTCCAATGGGAGGATCTCAGGAGGTATATAGAACAAAGAAGAAATCAACTCACTTGCGGCAAATGGTCTTGTCTTGATTGTATTTCCTTGCCAATGCCATCAAAGAGGGCTCAATGATTCCTCCTCTTAGCCTCAAAACCAGATGGAGAGTTGATTCTGAATCAAAAATAAATATTACAGAATAAGCACCATATTCAAATTAGCAAAAGCTCATAACAGAATTTTGCAATCACTCAAAAATGCTTAACCTATTCAAGAAGCAGCATAAACCATAATAGCAACGCATATTCAATATTAAATTTGATCAACCATTTTAGACACAAAGCATTTGGTCCAAACTTATTGGGTATGATTAAAATGAAACCGGCAGAGGTTTGAAAAAGATTACGTCCCCTCAAAGTACAAGTATTTAATCTAAACATCTTGCAGCATCCCCCTTTGCATAAAATAGAAAATTGCTGAAATAGAGCAGCTGGCATTCATTTTGCACATTTAACATCTAGATTTTATTGGGACCTCATTCTCATTGAAAATACGAGGATAAATGCAGTTAGATAAACATAATCGGAAGAGTAATGAACTTAAACTAACACGCATAAACTCTAATTCAAAATCAAACAATTACTTGTAAATGGAATTGGAAAATCTAAACCATGAAGCCAGCAAAAAAGCACTTATACATATAGTTTATCGGCACAAAGTTTTCATTAAGGGCAAATTGCATCAACATGAAAAGAAAGGATGATACAAATCTGTACTATGGTTTTATACAATTAATCAATCATTAAGTACGTTTCATTGTTCATTTGCCCTTCTCGTTAAGGTCTATTAGGAAATATATACAACATGACTTCCAAAGGATTATGTCTGCTACCAGTTCAGAATCTCTAAAATTCACCTAAGYAGAAAAYCTTAWATATTGTGTCTAAATCAAACAATTTTAATCAAAAAGTCGGCATACACAAACCTTTCTGGATGTTATAATCAGCGAGAGTTCGGCCATCTTCAAGCTGCTTGCCGGCAAAGATCAATCKCTGCTGATCCGGTGGAATACCTATAATGTCAGAAACAAATTCACATCCACTCATACAAAAACTAATACTTCGCTTCCAGAAAAACAATAAAAGCATACAAACACATACCTTCCTTGTCTTGAATCTTAGCTTTCACGTTGTCGATGGTGTCACTGCTCTCAACCTCGAGAGTAATGGTCTTACCCGTTAGGGTTTTCACGAAGATCTGCATCTTCCCGTTTCTCTCTTCTCAATCGGCGCCGGTTCTGATAGAGGTTTTGTTAATCGACGATTTCTATAACCTGGTTTATAATGAGGGACTTAGGGTTATCTTTGAGCCCATATTTCTGAAGCCCAAAACCTGAATTTTTGGCTCATTAACAGCCCAATATTCATCATCCTCAAAATTTCATTTTTGTTTTAAATGAACTATGAGTAAACTAAGATTTCCCTCAATGTCGTTTGGGAGTTTATAACGATTTTATTAATAGAATACTAGAACGATACTTGTATAATACAGCGAGATACATTTTTAATATTTTATTTTATTTTTATCTCAGTAAATGTTATAATATGGTCTTATGTGATTTTAAAAAGGCGTTGATATTTTTATTTTTGATTAAAATATAAACTTGAATATATTATAAAAATTTGACAAAAATTTATTGATATTAGTATCAAATTAACTATTTAAAATTCCTCATTTTTTATGTAATTTTTTAATTTAATTTTATTTATTATAATTTAATTTATGTTCAATAACGCATTAATTTATATTTGGTTTAATATAATATTTTTCTTATAAAGTTAATAACTAATTATATTGTTAAAACTCGATAATTATCCTAATTATATTTTAAAATGAGATATTTATCCTCTGTTTGATTATGTTTATCCGCAGTTAGTTATACGAATTCAAATATAGAGTTTTAATATGTTGTACTTATGTATTATTTACTTGTAATCTTGAATTTTAATTAATATACATCAATAAACAACACTTTATGTATAAAAAATTGTTTTTAAGAGTTTTTGTCAAATGTTTTATAATATATAGTATAGATATAGATAAATAGAACTTATGTATAAAATAATTGATAATAACTCTTAAAATTTATTTTTTATGAAGGTACTGTATATTGATGCATATTACTTAAAATTCAAGATTACAAGTAAATTATGTATAAGTACAACTTATCAAAACTCCATGTTAAAAATCATGTAACTAACTACAGATATACATAATCAAATAAAGAATAAACATCTCATTTTAAAAATAAAAAATCCAAATATAATTAAAATAATCATCGAGTTCTAACAAAATACTTAATTATTATTTTAAATAAATTATTTTATTAAACTTAAACTAAATTAGTTCATTTTTAAACTTCAGTTAAATTATAATAAAAAAATAAATTAAAAAAATTACACAAAAACAAAAACTTTTAAATAATTAATTTAATACTAACATTGCTTTTTTTTTAAACTTTATAATATCTTTAAATTTATATTTCATTAAAAAATAAAAATATTTTTTTTCTCAAAATCACATAAAGTCGCATGATAACATCGATAGACCCAAAATATAAAACGAAACAATAAAATCACATATTCCACACTGGGTAACCATAAAATGATGTCAAAATAAGCAGCAATTAAACAAGGAATGGTTCATACAGAAATAACTCGTCAAACAGTTAAATCCTAGTTACAGAAAGTCCATCTGAATCAACGATCTGAACCATGAGAATAAACTATCAGGAACAAAAATGGAAATTTGCAAGCAAAAACAACCACAAATGTTCACTTGATCTTCTTCTTTGGCCTCAGCTGCAACACCACAAATGTTCAATCACCCAATTAATATATGAAATAAGTTTTACATAAGAAAAGGAAATTAAGGAGATAATAAACCTGATTGCTGTGGCCACACTTCTTCTTTCGGCAGTTTACAGCCCTCGGGTGCAAACGAGCATAGCACCTGAACAATTTAACCAAAACTCTCAGCTACAAATGAAGTCCAGAGAGCATATCGCATTTAGGGTGACTAAGGGGCCGTTTGTGTTTTTTATGCAGACAATACTGGATAGGCGACCGAGGTAGGCAGATGAAAACTTAGCGGCCGGTTTGGGGGTTTCAAATTGGCGTAAGTAATTTAGTTAGTAAAGTTAACACTCTTGTCCCATATCTATGATCTTAGTCACACCTATCCACTCCCACATATACCAAACGCACACATAGGGAACAAATACATATATGAACAGTATAAACAGCTGAAAATAGTATATTCCAGGGATGATCAGCCAATAAAACAAAAAAAGTGGACTATTTAAAACTGAATGAATTGCCCTAGACACAAAATTGAAGCAATGTCGATACAATTTCATTATACTAATCAAAACACCAAAAGCTACTCCGCGCAATATAGGAGAAATCCATTATAGTAACCAAAAGACCAAAAGCTACTCAGCTCATAATTAGTTCCCTTTCATATATATATAGGAGAAATTTGAAGACAGTTTTCTTGCACAACTCTTTTGAAATTTGTATAAAGACACTACTTTTCCAATGGGAGGAGAGGATCTAGTGTGGTATATAGAACAAAAAAGAAATCAACTCACTTGCGGCAAATGGTCTTGTCTTGATTGTATTTCCGAGCCAATGCCATCAAAGAGGGCTCGATGATTCCTCCTCTTAGCCTCAAAACCAAATGGAGGGTTGATTCTGAATCAAAAATAAATATTGCAGAATAAGCACCATATTCAAATAAGCAACCTCATAACAGAATTTTTCAATCATTAAAAAATGCTTAACCTATTCAAGAAGCAGCATAAACTATAATAGCAACTCATATTCAATATTAAATTTGATCAACCATTTTAGACGTAAAGCATTTTGTCCAAACTTATTGGGTATGATTAAAATGAAACTAGTAGAAGTTTGAAAAAATTACGGCCCTTCAAGATACAAGTAAATCGAGCAGCTGGCATTCATTTCACACATATTAACATCAAAGTTTGATCGGGACCTCATTCTCATTGAAAATATGAGGAAAAATGCAGTTAGATAAACATAAACGGAAGAGTGATGAACTCAAACTAACACGCATAAACTCCAATTCAAAATCAAACAATTATTTGTAAATGGAATTGGAAAATCTAAACCATGAAGCCAGCAAAAAAGCACTTATACACATAATTTATCGGCACAAAGTTTTGATTAAGGGCAAATTGCATCAACATGAAAAGAAA